ATGCCAAAGGTGCAATTGAATCCAAAAATATTCTGAGACAAAGCGTTGTCTTGCCATTGGACCTAGCAATTAATTAGGAACTTGTCGTTCTTTTTAACTTCGAATAGCAATAGGACAAAATCTAATATTACCAATTTCGTAAAGAGCTACGTTTCACAATCTCTATATTTCCGATGTGAATTCTTTAAGCCATCTGTAAACTTTTCCTTGATTATGAATACTGATTGGTTGTCTGATTGTAGGGAGCTTCTGTCCCTATGTAGTTAACAGCATCAATATTTCCTCTTGTGATCTAATGTTGCCACACCAAATTTGAAGGGCTTACAAGGGAGATTCATGTGATAGATACCTCCTTCAATAGTCTTCTGAATATAAACTGCTTTCCATAGTGTCTAAAAGTCTTGTTATCTAATTGTGGCTGATGATAAGCTTTTGCATTCTCAAATGTTTTAGGCCTTTAAATTTGCATGTACGAATATCAGCTTATACCCATTAACATTGTATTTACAGAAATGGTGCACAGAAGTTGCTGGGTATACTTATAGCTATTGGAGAGGCAGTTGCATATGTTCTGTCTGGGATGTATGGCAGTGTTAGCCAACTTGGTGCAGGCAATGCTATTTTGATAATTCTTCAACTTTGCTTTGCGGGTATCATTGTCATCTGCTTAGATGAGTTGTTGCAGAAAGGCTATGGTCTTGGCTCTGGCATCTCTCTTTTCATAGCCACCAACATCTGGTGAGTTTGTTGTTTTTGTGTATTCTCTTGGCCAACCATAAAAAGATATAGAAACTGATAATCCACACTATAACTTCTGTGTAGTGAAAACATTATATGGAAGGCATTTAGTCCTACTACTATTAACAGCGGCCGAGGTGCTGAATTTGAAGGAGCCGTCATTGCCTTGTTCCACTTGCTGATAACTAGAACAGACAAAGTCCGAGCTCTACGGGAAGCCTTTTATCGACAGAATCTTCCAAATGTGACGAACCTCCTTGCCACTGTTCTGGTTTTTCTCATTGTCATCTACTTCCAAGGCTTCCGTGTAGTCCTTCCAGTGAGATCAAAGAATGCTCGCGGACAGCAGGGTTCCTATCCAATCAAACTATTTTACACTTCCAACATGCCCATCATCTTACAGTCTGCTCTTGTTTCCAATCTGTATTTCATCTCCCAGGTAAGAGAGCTTTAAATACATGTTATATTAATATCATAGTTTTTTTAACCTCAGAGAAACCTGACCCTCTTTCATCTGCTGCAGCTACTCTACAGGAAGTTCAGTGGAAATTTCTTTGTAAATCTGCTTGGGAAGTGGAAGGAATCCGAATATTCTGGCGGTCAATTCATCCCTGTTGGCGGTCTTGCTTACTACATTACAGCACCATCAAGGTGATTGTTTTAACAGCTTTCTTACTTACGATTGATAATTTCTTTGTTGGGTAAATTTCTCAAAGTCCCCCAAAACTTTGGACTGTTTCCCCTAAAACCCACTCTGGACTTTGTTTATTCTGTCAAAACCCTCTGCACTATGGGGTGTCTCAAATAAAACCCCTAACTTTTAGCTTTTCACAAGTAAACCCGAATGTTGTTACTGATCAATGCCTAGTTACCAACCCTTAGCCCAAAAAGCCCCAGTCTCCTGATTAGTTACTGGGGTATTTTAGTTAATTGTAGTCACGTGTTAGGCATGTGCTGGATTTTAACTGACGGGATTTTAACTTGGGTGTTTTGTGGGAAAACTTCAGGAGGGTTTAGTGGAATAAACAGATTTCAGCAGGTGTTGGGGGTTTGTGAAATTTATCTTCTTTGTTTGAGTACTCATCCATTTGTATTCTCCCTGGTTGATATACAGCTTGGCTGATATGGCTGCAAATCCATTCCATGCGCTATTTTACATAGTCTTTATGTTATCGGCCTGTGCACTTTTCTCAAAGACATGGATCGAGGTTTCTGGATCATCAGCAAGAGACGTGGCTAAACAGCTCAAGGAGCAACAAATGGTGATGCCAGGTCACCGTGAATCCAATCTACAAAAGGAATTAAACCGTTACATTCCAACAGCAGCTGCCTTTGGTGGAATGTGCATTGGAGCTTTGACAGTTCTTGCAGATTTCATGGGCGCTATTGGTTCAGGCACAGGGATCCTGCTCGCTGTTACCATCATTTACCAATACTTCGAGACTTTTGAGAAGGAAAGAGCTAGTGAGCTTGGCTTCTTTGGACTTTAAGCAGTTTTGCCTGAACAAGACAAAGTTGTAAACTTCCTAATTTTATCAGGTGTTAGAAGTTAGGAAAGTAGTTGCGTACTTGCGTTGGAAACTTAGTGAGAGCTTGGAGGGGAAAAAAAAAATCTTTAGATGTTATGTTTTTTTATGTTAAATTAAAATTTTTTCCTTTAGCTGTTAACTTTTGTGAGCGCGCTGGAATCAGTGAAAATTTTATCCCTTTTCATTTGTACTGGAATCAGTGAAAAATTTATCCCTTTTCATGTGCAGGTAACTTCCAATTCTGTTGAGTTTTTCGTAGGGACTTTTTAAGTTTTTGACGTCCATGTAGAAATTTTCCATCTGCGGACTGTGCGCCAATGCCCGAGATGCTTTGATGTATAGTGTGTTACTGTCGGCTATTGCTTCTTATGCGTCTCGTTTTAATTTCGGAAGTTCTGTTGTCTTGGACTCTTACTATCCTCAAATGAGAACCCATTTGGTTTTTGTACTAGATTCAATTGTGACTAGTACTAAGCCTGTGCTGTGCACTGCTGCGGGTATTATTTACCGAGGTATATTTGTTGCCAAATTAATGGGATGATTTTTATATATAACTATTTATGAAAATTTTAGTGATAATTTTATTATTATTATTTATAGAGTGAAATTTTGAACCAGTTACAAAATAATACACAAATTAGCAAGTTTTATTAATTTTCTATAATAGAGCCAGAAAATATTTATATTTATAAAATGTTTGATAAATGTTAAATCCATTAATTCAAAAAAGAAGAAGAAGATATGAACATTGTTTGAACAATATTTTAAATATTCTATCTCGTACTATATCAAAATTGTGACTGGTATAAATAGTAATGTTGAGGTTTTGCTTTTAGAAGTAGTCGGTATCGTACAAGTTTTATTTTCTTACAATGCTTAATGACTGTATCTGGTTTGTATTCAACAATGTTAATCAATAATATTTGTAGCCTGAGCAAGAGAGGGTCATTCAAAGCACGATTCCCACAACCTATTGTAATTTCAAAGGGGTTAAATGACAATTATACCATAAACTTTCCATATGTACTAGTTATTTTTCGTGGCAAATAAATATCCGTTAGTATTTTTAATGGTGCAGACAACAAATTTTCACCTAAATATTTTTCTATGATACTTCCGTGCTAATTTTATAGCTTTTCAATTGTTAGTGTTTGTCAAATTCCTTATTAAATATATCAAAATTCTTTTTTAACTTGTTTTAATTCTATTTTAAACTAGAGTTGCAATTGTTTTATGATAAATTCAACAAATATTAATGCTTAAAAAAATTTATAAAATTAACAAGTTAGTGTCAATATGGGAAATCCCATTCATGTGCAAATATTCATGTTGCATGATCGAGGGTCCTAACATGCTAGTTTTAAACAACTAATGATATTAAATTGCCATAAAAACTAATTCATGGTATATAAAAGTCCAAAACGGGGAAATTAAGTGCCATTTAGCCTTTCAAAGGGAACCAAAACTCTGCATTATTATTAGTTTATATTTTATCTAAACCAAATTCCCGCTAATTCCATTATTGTACCCTCCTCTTTCCTCCAAAATAGTCCTTAACCGAACTCTCAAGCGGCTCAATAAGCACATTCATCCACACATAATACTAATTCTACCTATTCATTGCCTAATCTTTACCTATTAATGAATGACCTTTTAAGTTAATCTTTTTAGGGCCGGCCCAGCCTGGCCTATTTATGAAACCTGTAACGGCTCTCAAAATCTAGCCGTTGGGAACTCAAAAATCTACATCCTTCAAAAAAATATAGCGGTTACAATCCCAGCAACGGCTATATCTTCACCATCAATCTCTTAAATCCCCAATCGTCTCCTCTCTCACACCCTCTCATCCCCAACTCCAAAATCATCAAGAAAACCCCATCAAGAAATTAGAAAAAAAAAAAGAAAAAGAAAGAGAAACCCACCTCAATTCAATCCGATTCAATCCAATCAAGATGAACAGCCTCATGACCAAATCCTTCCTCAGCTACCAAGATCTCAAGAAAGAGGCCCTCAGGGACCTCGAAGCCGGCGCTCCTCCGACATCGAGATGTCGTCGTCCCCTCCCAACGACGAAAAACCTCCGCCGCTTCTTCGAGGAGCGGGCCTCGTGGAGGAGCAGATGTCCTCGATCCGCAGCCCCTCTCCGACCTCCACGCCGCCAACGAGCAGTCACGAATCCTCCACAAGCCCGAGCCCCTCAGGTCCTCCGCTCCCAGATCAACTCCCTCATCCTCCGAGTCCTCAAGTCCGCCAAGTCCATCCGCGACGCCTCGAGTCCCTCGACCGCGCCAACGCCGCAGCCGCCGCCTCTGCCGGCTACCGCGCGGGACCCCCGTCGACCGCCACCCGCACCTCCGTCACCAACGGCCTCCGAAGCAACTCAAAGACTCATGCTTGAGTTCCAGGACCGTCCGCAGAAATGATGGCGGAGTACAAGGAGACCGTCGAGAGAAGGTACTTCACCCTCACCGGTAGACGTCCCCGATGGGGAGATATCTGACAAAGATAATTGCGAACGGGAGAGCGAGACCTGGTGAGGAGGGCGGTGACGGAGGGGGGAGGGACGGGTGATGAGGCGGTGGCCGAGATGCAGGACAGGCACGACGCCGCGAAAGAATCGAGAGGAGGCCTGTCCGGAGCTGCACCAGGTGTTCCTCGACATGGCCGTGATGGTGGAGGCGCAGGGGGAGAGGATGGACGACATCGAGCAGCACGTGATGAGCGCGGCGCACTACGTGGGCGAGGGGGCGAAGGAGCTGGCGACGGCGAAGGGGTATCAGAGGAGCAGCCGGAAGTGGATGTGCATCGGGATTGTTGTGCTGATGATTCTCGTGTTGCTCGTTTTGGTTCCGATCCTGGCGAGTTTGCACAAATCTTGAAATGTGTTTGTTGGCGAGCGAGGGTGGGGTTGTGGGAGTTGCGGCGCTCGCTCAAGCTCCTCTTGAGGTTGCTGTGATTTTTTTTACTAGTAGTATGTTTCCGGGATTATGGTGCGGTTGGTTGCGGTTGGGTGAATTCTTTAGTGATTCGTGGTGAGGTTTGTAAAAGATATAAATGTAGAGTTCTAGCTATTTGTGAAAATTGAGCGAGCATCTTGCTTCTTGCTTCTTGTGATTACTATTTGATTTTTAAGAATTGTGCAACCTTTGGATTAATCACGTGGAGAGCGCTAAGTTGATTTTGAAAATACATTTTATTTTTGCGCATATCGATGTGAAAACGCATAAATTGGATGTGTATCACTGTATTGGGATGCTGCTGCTGCTTGTCCTTGTGTTTTTTCCTGAAAATTTCATCTTGTGTTGCTTGTTGTGATTCAGATATTGGCAAGAGTGTGACCGAGGCCTTGTGTTATTTCGTGCTGTGCTTACTAATAAATAAACTCTTTTGATTTTTTTGATTAGTATGGTTTGAATTGTAAAAAAAAAAAAAGAAGAAGCACATGTTTGGTGGGAATTGGATTAAATTGTTTGAATTGTTTGGGAATTGGATTAAATTGTTTGTTAAAAAAAGAAGCACATGTATTGTGATTTTTGTACAAGGAGATATATATGGGTTAGTAAGAAACATATAGTTTATTTATGAAACATTTTGCTTCTTTCTTTCTTGTTCTTTGGATCTTACAAATGTGAGTTATTCATCTTGTACGTAGTTAGTAGAGAAACATTTAGCTATTCATCTAGAGGGGAGGGTAAATTAAGGATTCAAAACTCATAAAGATGAAAACATATTTGTTTATTAAAACGTGTTACAGCATTTGAGTTGTGTGCGTGATGGGGGAAAAAAAGGCTAAATGGCGCTCGAATACCCTATTGTTTCATTGTCTTTTCATACTTAAATATCTTAAATTGTAAAAAATATCACTTTAATACAAGTTGTAAAAAATTAGCACATTACTATCTTTTGGTATTCTACCTAGAAATATGTCTTGACAACTAACATAAGGTATTAAAGTTTTTTTACAACTTAAAGTATTAAAGTGCCACTTTCTTACAACTTAGAGTATTAAAGTGCTATTTTTTTTATAAATCAGAATATTTAAAGGTAGTGAAACAATAGCGTATTTAAGTGCTAGTTTTTTTACAACTTAGGGTATCAAAGTGTTATTTTTTACAACTTAGGGTATCAAATTACAACTTAGGGTGTTGAAGTGTTATTTTTACAACTTAGGGTATTTAAATGTAAATGATGTGAAACAATAGAATATCTGAGTGCCATGTAGCCCAAACAATAACGACACATGCTCTGCTATCAATAACAATATCTAATACCAATACATGTATCAATGCAATCAGAACATTATATCATTGCACTCACCATATTATGCCCTTATTGTTGGATTTGGGTGTAGATCCATACCTCAATCAGGCGAGATCACGAAGCAGGCGGCGTTGATGAAATCGCAGGCAAGCTCCGACTATGGTGAGGTCGAGCTTGCAGTACTGGCGAGCTTGTTGCAGGTGCAGGCGGGTCTGATCACGAGCTCGAGATCTCACGTGCAGGCGAGATTGACAGCGAGCAAGAGAGCTCGCGAAGGCAACAGGCGAGATCGCGATCCCCTTTGCAGGCGACCTTGGAGTTTGCTGTAGGCGAGCACGAGAAGAGTGAAGTCGGGCGAGCTCGAAGACTTGTTGGCGAGGTCATGAGCTGCAGGCGGATTTTGAACGAGATCAGGCAAGCTTGCCTTTTGATTCTCGCCTGCGTTTGTTGGGAACAGCTGGATCCAGCTGTTGGCTAGGGTTTCCCTAAAATAGGGAAACACATGAGCACGAGAGGACTGCCCCCGTCGTTCCGTTTCTCTTCTTCTCAGCAGCGATTTATTGTGGTGGCAGCCATTATTTGAGCTCGTTCATTTAATCTGAGTTCCTGTAGCAATTTATTGAAGAGAGAGGAGTTTTTCCAGTTGGAAAAACTCGCGCCTTTTAGAACAACAGTATCTGTTGGTTCTTCTTTTGAGAGATCTCAAGTTGAGATTTACTCTTTTACAAGCTTTGTAATCTTCTTTAATATAAAGGAAATTATTTGTGTGGCTCCCAAGGACGTAGGCAAGTTGCCGAACCTATTTAAAACTCTGTGTTCTTTGTTATTGTAATTTTGATTTGTTGTGATTTTTTTTCCATTGCTTAACATAAGATCCGGTAGGGCAAATTCCGCAGAACGGGTGTCAGAGCGTATCTGATATTTCCCTAACACCTTCATCCCTATAAGATTTTCTTTATAGGGCTACCTATATGATTTCTTTCTTGTGACTGTAGCAGGATGAGGCGGGGATATTCCATGGCATCACTCATCAAGGAATGAACCCAAGGGACGTTCCTTCTTTCGACTTTCAACAACATCAAATTGAAAAGTACTCTTTTGATGTCATGCTTATGGTAAATATTTGCAGATTCCATTTAGTGAGGCATCTACTTCTCACATTAGTAGATATAATTGGTAGAGCGCAGGTACATGTGGATTATACTGATGAGTTTCTGTTATCGTTTCTGATGCATCTAATTAAAAAAAAAAAAAAATCCTCACCGTTGCAGTTAATTCGCCGTGGTCACCACTCATTTGCACCCTTATTCTCAGGCGCGCAGCTGAAAGCTCAGTGCAAAGGCTAATAATGTACGCCAATCCAACACAAACAAAGCCCACTTCCATATAAAATATTAGAGGGGCTACGACCCTTCAGAATATTCACGGGTCAGAAATTGTAGCTCACGGGTTCTTTTTCGGGCCTTTCTGCCATAATAATAAGAGTTCCGCAAAGGCCCAAGATTTTTTAGCGGTCGATGGTGGTGACGGGGGAGGGTGAGAAAAATCCATGCGGGAGAGCCAATGGGATGAGTGTCGCGCGCCTTTGCGGAAGCCTTGCACGAACTCACAACGAACCTGTGATCACGAGTAGAAGAAAGACAAACTCTTGCACAAATCCAACCAATAAAGCCAAATCAATCCAAACACAGAGATATACGTGGTTCGGCAATTTGCCTACGTCCACGGGGAGAGGATGGGGAGATTTCACTAAATCAAGGAGAGTACAAAGGGTTACAATCACACAAATTCTCTCAAACTAACCCTCAACCAAAGATCTCACCTTGCTCACAATATCTCCCTCTCACAATGCTCAAAATATTCCTCAATCTCTGATATTAAACCCTCTCAAATCGTTTCCCTATTTATACCAAAACAAAACCCCAATTAGACTGCAAATAGGAAACCTGCGTATGCAAAAAACCCGCTATAAGTCGACTTAACAGAGGGCGTAAGTCGACTTGGCAGAGGAAAAAACAGCAACAGGAGAGGACTTCATAAGTCGACTTAACAGACATTATAAGTCGACTTGGCAGAGGAAAAAATCACAACTCCGCTGCAGATCGTAAGTCGACTCGTGCACACTAATGAGTCGACTTACCATAAGTCGACTTAGCCTTGTGCATGAGTCGACTTATGCCAGTTTTTCTGGTTTTTCTGATTCTTTTCCTGATTTCTCCACAATGAGAACAGGTTGGAGGAGCCTGAAAGAGCCGAACGCTGAACTTTTTTTTTTTTTTTATGTGTACGACGATGAGAGGATGCGTTCGAGGCGAGTGGACACGGTTTGGTCGTGTGGATAATAAGATGAAGATGAGGCTTCTGAGGCCGTGAATGATCGCGTCTAATCTCTTATCCCCATCTCTCTATATAAAATATCTCTTGGTTTACCCATTTAGCTTAACTTTATTAACACTATCGACTACTTTTATCTTTAAAAAACTCCACCCCCCCTTCTTCTTCTCCTCAAAACTCACTCGGAGAACCTCGACTTGTAGCGCAGGTGGGCACGGTCACTTTGTTGTTTTATTGTCCTCGTTGCGGTTCGGTATTTATGATTTTTATCAGACCTTTTCTTTTCAAAACCAAGGTCTTATTTATATTCTGTTAGATTAAAAAAAACCTGGGGGAATTCGTTGTCTTTCATTGGCGAAGTCCTTGCCTGTTCTTCTTATATTTAGTCCTGACTACGTACTGAGTTGATGAACTGAACTGACAAGAGTCGAACGTTTAATAGATGAGCATCCTGAACCATTCCATCCCCACGAATGGGCAACCACTGTTACCTCCCAAGTCTTCAGCGGCTCAGGATGCATCCCAGCATCTGTCAATGGCTCGATCCTCCCAAGCAGCACATTGGATGAAATCATCCGAGCCCGATCCCTCGGCGAGATCCTCCCTGGTCGTCTCAAGCAGAGATGTTCCCAGGACTACAGGATCAGTTTCCAGCGAAGTCTTTCAGAATGGCTCCTTCGAAAGTCTGAAAATACCCGATATGGACCTTGAGCCCGCGGCCGAAAGCTTCCTATGCTCCCTTTCGGAGAACGAAAAGTTCGTTCGCATATTTGATCATAGTTCTTCGTCTCAGATGAATGTTGTGCTCTCAGTATCTGTTTCTTCGGCGGTGAAGCTTGACAGCAGACAGATTGAGCTAATAGCCAGAAAAATGCAGAAACTGACCGGGTTCAGAAACCTGAAGTTGGAGAACATCGTTGATCCCTCGCTTATTGCTGGATTCACAATAAGCTATTGTGATGATGAGTCCGATGTGATCGATCTCAGCGTGAAAGGGCAGTTGGCTTCTCTAGCAGCTCGTGTTGAGTCCTCAGAGCGAATAATAGCGAATAATGCGCAGAGTTGGAGTTCATAGCGTTGTGCATCCCGCAAATATTGTTACTGTTTTTGATTCGGAGTTTTTGGTTACAGTGACTTATATATATGTATATGAAATGCATGCATATGAGAAGGCTGTAAAAAGGTTTTTCCGACGGTTTGATAGTTAAGGCTTGTATGATGCTATATACCGCAATTTCTTATGCTCTACTCTATGATCGATATTGGTTAGAAAAACAATATTAGGCTGATAATTTTTACCTTTGGTCTCACATAATTCCGTCTCCACGACTTAAACGTAACTACAAATCCTATTGTAGCACAATAATTTGGATTATAAATGATCAAACTCCTCACCCTTCTATACATAATTAATGTATACTCCTTTTCCTTCAAAATTAATCTTCTTAAAAACGTCAGGACAACTTATAGCTTGGTATTGGACTCCACAAGCCTCTGCAGAGGAGCCTGGCAGGGATGGTAATTTTTAATTTTTATGACCCACTAAACCCAAGCGATCTGTATTATTTGAGATCTGAAGATGCAGTTGTTATTGTTGCGCGCAGCGGAAATTTCGGCAGCACTTCGGCAGCACAACAAGAGAGTCAGATCACAATAAGAATTCCCGTCTCACCAAGGAGACAAGAATCTGAAGCGGATATCTCAACCAAGTGAGATATCGGCTCTTCCTCTCATCAGTTCTAGGACTGACCTGTCGAGAGATCCTAAAAGCTATTACAAATCACACAAATAGCGATACAACCAATTTTACGTGGTTCGGCAAATTGCCTACGTTCACGGGGTAAGGAGGGGGAGATCTACTAATAGAGGGAGAGATTACAACTAGGGTTTACAATCACTCACAAACTAAACCCTCAGACAAACTCTCAAATCCCTCACAAAATCTCTCTACAAAAGAATGCACAAAACCCTAAAGAAGGGACTAAATTAAACATCATGCGCACCCTTTTCTCCTCTGCAGCCTTTTGTCCGCTGGATGCTTCATTCACGCGGATTCTTTTCCAGCTCGTGGTCCCCACAATAAATGCGTTCACACAATTCTCCACCTCGGTGAAGTTTTCTCAAAACTGAGCCGACACCATAGCATCTAAATGTCCCAACTTATTGTGTCCAATACGAACTCAATCCACAACAAGTCGAGAACCCGAACGAGAGTCCAAACAATCTCACCCCCATCAAAATCAACTAATCCAAACCGGCTGCATCTGAAAGACTGCCTACGTATCCTCTTGCCCAAGGAATCAAGCCGAACGTAGTTCACTCAAATGACCGCCAACGGCCTCAACAATCACGAATGTGCAACAAGCTTCGACAATGATCAAACCTGTTGCTTGGAACCACCTTAGTGAGCATATCCGCCGGATTATCCTTCGTGTGGACTTTCACTATCTCCACATCGCCATCTTCAAGAACATCCCGAACGAAGTGATAACGAACGTCAATGTGCTTCGTCCGCGCATGAAAGACCTGATTCCTATCACAATGAATAGTGACGGACCTCTGCGATATACCAAGTTCCTCCAAAAGTCCTCGAAGCCAAATAGCCTCCTTCACAGCCTCCGTAACTGCCATATACTCTGCCTCCGTCGTAGACAAAGCCACCGTCGACTGTAAGGTGCATCTCCAACACACCGGTGCACGGGTCAAAGTGAACACATACCCCGTCGTAGACCGGCGCTTATCCAAATCCCCGGCATAATCCGAATCAACATAGCCAATGCATAGTTGCCCACCTTTAGTGTCCCGCTCATAAACTAAACCAACATTGAGCGTACCTCGAATGTACCTCAAAATCCATTTCACAGCATCCCAATGACCCACTCCTGGATCGTGCATGTATCTCGATACCATGCTTACTGCTTGTGACAAATCTGGTCTCGTACATACCATCGCGTACATCAAGCTCCCAACCGCACTCGCATATGAAGTCTTCGACATTAACTCTCTATCTTCAACTGACTTCGGCGAAAGACCAGCTGAAAGCTTCAAATGGGCTCCCAATGGTACACTAACTGGCTTTGTATCCATGCTAACATGGAATCGCTGTAGAACCTTCTTCAAATAAGCCACCTGTGTCAAACAAATTCTGACATTCTTCTTGTCTCTGCCGATCTCCATCCCTAAAATGCGCTTCGCCTCACCCAAGTCCTTCATCTCAAACTCATTTGAAAGCTGAACTTTCAACTCATCTATAGCCGACCTGGAAATAGAGGCAACCAACATGTCATCGACATAGAGCAACAAATAAATGTACGCACCTCCTTTCAACTTGCGAAAATATACGCAAGGATCAAACTGGCTCCGAGTGTACGAATGACCAAGCATAAAACCATCAAATCGCCTATACCACTGTCGAGGAGACTGTTTCAAACCGTATAGCGATTTCTTCAATCTGCAAACTAATTTTTCCTTCCCTGCAGCCGCCTAAAACACCCAAAACCCTTTTTCGATCACCATGAAGAAATGCCGTCTTCACATCCAACTGATCTAACTCCAAACCATACTGTGCCACCAAAGCTAGCAAAATCCGAATCGAAGAATGCTTCACCACCAGAGAGAAAACCTCATTATAATCTATTCCTTCCTCCTATGCATAGCCCTTCGAAACCAACCTAGCCTTGAATCTCAACGGAGTGCCTTCAATGCCCTCTTTCTTCGTGTATACCCACTTGCAACCAATTGCCTTCCGCCCCTTTGGAAGCTCAACAAGCTCCAATGTATCATTTTTATGAAGAGATTCCATCTCCTCCTACATAGCCACCTGCCACGAATCAGCCTCCGAACTCTGCTCGGCCTCTCTGAATGTAGTAGGCACTAACTCATCGATACTCTCCACCGAAAGTGCATACGCAACTGTGTCGGCATACCGTGCTGGCATCTGTATGTTTCTCCTCTGTCTCCAAGCCGCAATTGAATCTTGAACCTGAGCCGTCGGTTCCTGATCCTGCACATTTGTACTCGTATCCCCCGTGTCACCGTCGTGCTCGCCTGGCGTCACCTCAGTCGGCACCTGCATGGATACTATACCATCTGGACAATGTGGAGCTGCATCGATCTCCACCACCTACGATATCTCCTCCATCGGGTCGCTCTCCACCTGATGAGAGCTGAGAAGCTTCAAGATAGAAGCCCCATCGAATGTGACATCCCTACTCAACACAATCTTCTTATCCACTGGATCCAAAAGCTTGTATCCCTTGACACCACGTTTGAATCCTACAAATATGGCCTTCCTAGCTCGAGGTTCTAATTTATCAGTTCTAACATGATAATATGCAGGGCACCCAAATACCTTGAGCTGGTCATAGTCATGTGCTGGCTTTCCCGACCACTTCTCCATAGGGGTCTTCCCCTCAATCGCAGATGAATGCAGCCTATTAATGAGGTGGCTCGCATACGTAAGCGCCTCAGCCCAAAAGATCTTCTCCAAACCACTCTGCGACAATAAACATCGGATCTTCTCCAGTAAAGACCGATTCAACCTCTCTGCCACCCTATTTTTCTATGGTGTATGACTAACCGTGAAGTGTCTCTCTATTCCCTCGTCTCGACATAGCTGCTGAAAGGGGTCAGAAGTATACTCACCACCGTTGTCGGATCACAACGTCTTGATCTTTCTCCCAGTCTGCAGTTCCAATCTCTTCTTCCACTCCACAAACAAATCTAGGACTTCACACTTCTTCGTTGGTGTACACCCAACAACACCTAGAATAGTCATCTACAAAAGTGACGAACCAATGTCGACCACCAAGTGATGCAGTCTTGGTGGGACCCCAAACGTCTGTGTGCACGTAATCCAGGATGCCCCTCGTCTGATGAATGGCAGTCCCGAACTTCACCTTCGTCTTCTTGCCAAGAACACAGTGCTCACAGAACTCAATCTTCCCACTCTTGGCTCCCTTCAATAGCCCCTGCTTGCATAATACCTACAGTGACTTTTTACCTGTGTGCCCTAACCTATAGTGCCAAAGTCTGCTCATGTCCGCTTCTGAAATAGCCGAAGCAACCTGGCCAATCTCGGTGCTTCCCTTCAGATAATACAAATTTTGATTACGGACTCCCTTCATCACCACCAATGATCCCTTAGTAACCTTTGCTACAGCGTTTTCGAAAGTCACCTTGAATCCCTTTGCCTCCAAAGCTCCAACTGAGATAAGATTTTTCTTCAGTTGAGGAACAAATCTTACCTCCTTCAACTCACGGACTACTCCATCGTGCATCCTAATCCGTACGGTACCTATCCCACAAACGCCACAGGATTGATCATTTTCCATGACAACAACGCCCCCGTCGACTTTCTCAAAAGATGCAAACCAGTCTCGCCTAGGGGTCACATGAAAAGTAGCGCCGGAATCAAGCATCCAATCTGATGTATCCACATGATTCACCTCTGGAGTAATCAGTAGAGAAAAGCACGAATCATCGTAATCATCGCCTTTCGCAATATTCACCTCATTGTCCTTCGGACCCTTTTTCTTGCCATTCTCTTTCTCCTTGAGCTTCGGGCAGTCTCTCTTCCAATGTCCTTGCTCCTTGCAGAATATACATTGGTTCTTTGTTAATTGGTGGCGGCCTCTAGACTTTGACCTTCCTCTATTATCACCTTTCGGATATGGGCTTCTACCTCTCGTCGACAAGGCCTCACCTGAAGTGCTAGCACGGGAAGTCTCCTTGTCCTTCCTCCTCAAATCGTAGTTTGTCAAAGCGTTAGTCACTTCACTATAGCTGATAGAAAATCTCCCGTTCAACAAAGTGAGCACGAAGGTATCATACTCCTCATCCGGTAAGGAGCCCAACAAAATAATCGTCTTGTACTCATCCGATATCTTCTCATCAACATTCGCCAAGTCCGACAACAACTTCGTATAGTTGTTCACATGAGCCGCTAGCGAGGTGCCTCTGGACATCTGAAATCTGAAGAGTCTTCGCAGCAAGTGCAACCTATTCTCAACACTCTTTGTGAGATACTTATTGTTGAGAATTTCCCACATCTTCATTGCAGACGTCACCCCAATCACATCATATTTCAGCTCCTGTTCCAAACAGGACCTGATCACCCCACAAGTGTTCCTATTCATCTTCTTCCATACCGCCTCTTCATATTTATGTGGTCTTTCGTGGACCATGATGGTCTCTTCCAAGTTCTGAGCATTGAGCGCATCCTATATGTCGCTCATCCACAAACCAAAGTTGATTTTGCCGTCATACTTCACCACACTAATCTTAGTGTTCTGAAAACCAACTTGTATTGTACTCGCCATCGATTTGCTGCTTTTACCTTCTTCTCCCATTGCGAACTAACTCCAAATTGTAGAGAAAGAACAAATTTGATAGAATTAGGAACCACCCAACTGAACCCTAGATCGGATTCCAAATAGATCTCCTATCCACACGAGGAAAGCGAAATCTCCAACGGAAACTCCTAATGCTATCTCCACCGAAGCCTAGAACTCCAAGAACCAAGCTTCCAACTGAATCTTCCTCCACCTAATCCAAAACACCCTAGATTTGAAATCTGGGCTCTGATACCACTTGTTGCGCGCAGCGGAAATTTTGGCAGCACTTCGGCAGCACAACAAGAAAGTCAGATCACAATAAGAATTCCCGTCTCACCAAGGAGACAAGAATCTGAAGCGGATATCTCAACCAAGTGAGATATCGGTTCTTCCTCTCATCAGTTCTAGGACTGACCTGTCGAAGGATCCTAAAAGCTATTACAAATCACACAAATAGCGATACAACCAATTTTACGTGGTTCGGCAAATTGCCTACGTCCACGGGGCAAGGAGGGGGGAGATCCACTAATAGAGGGAGAGAATACAACTAGGGTTTACAATCACTCAATCTAAACCCTCAAACAAACTCTCTCAAATCCCTCGAAAAACCTAAGGAGAAATTATATATATATATATATGAATTCGGGTGGGCCTTGGTAAGTCACGTGGGCTAGGGAGTTGTCCGCTGGCTTTTTGTCCGCTGGATGCTTCATTCACGCGGATTCTTTTCCAGCTCGTGGTCCCCACAATAAATGCGTTCACACAATTATGAATTAATGCTAGACACAAGGTCACTTAATTTTCTATTAAGGAGGTCATTAAAATAAGAAGAAAAAGAGAAAAATTCCCCAATGACCCAAAATATTGGACCAATAGAGGGGACAAGTGAGGTGTCCCCCTCCTATTGGATAATGAGTTGGCCATCATTAATGATGGCCAACTCATTATCCAATAAGAAGGGAACACCTCACTTGTCCCTCATATTGGTCCCATATTCTGGGTCCTCGTAGCAAAGCTCAAATAAGAAATAGGCCAACGTCACGTTGTTCTCTCCTTTGCCCAATATTGCTAAAACAAAGTTTACTGTAAATTTTTTTAATGAAAACCTATGACAAAAGAACTGAAAGTACTGGAAATGGTTTGAGGGTTTTTATCTGGAACAATTTTTCAAAACATCCCCATTTCATTTTTTTTTATTTTTAAAATCGACCGATTTTTTTTATTTATCAAAACTGACATGTTTTTTGCCACGTCAGTCTAATCACCGTCCTAAATAGTCGGGGTTGCCAACCACGACTATTTAGGACATAAAATTTTAGGGTTTTAGGTTTCTAATTGGGGTTTAACGCACTCCTAAATAGTCGGGGTTGGTAACCCTGACTATTTAGGAGGGTGATTAGGCTGACGTGGCAAAAAATGGGTCGGTTTTAGTAAATAAAAAAAATCGGTCGATTTTAAAAATAAAAAAAATAAAATGGGCTGTTTTAAAAAATTGTTCTTTTTATCTGTATATGTTTTGGTTTCAATTACCTTGTTTCAACAGTGATCTGATCTGGATCTGACCTGATCTTGCTTCATTGTCACTCCTCACACATGTGCTTAGTTAGTTATCTCTCTGATTCCAATCAATCTTTTCTCCACGTAAAACAAACTAACAATCAAACAAAAAACAATAATAAACAAAGAAAGATACTATATATTTTTTACGCAGAAACTATATATTTTTTAGGCAAGCTTAGTCTGTGGAGTCCTTTTCCTTATTAAAGAGTTTCTCGACTATAAACCCTAAGTTTCACACCCAATTAGTTTTAATGCACTCACTTTCAAAATGGCTCGGAAGCTCAAATCACCCTCTAAACTCATCGTGTGCATTTTAGTAGTTTGGTATATGTTAGGAGAAATTTTCAAAACATATCCATTTATAGCTTTAGTCACCAAAATCAACCCATTTCAAACATAGTCACAAAAATCGGCCTAGTTTTAACTAGGCCAAAAGATTTTATTTTAATTAGTTAGAACTGCCAACCTCGACTAATTAGTAACTGGTTAGTTAACCTTCTAAATAGCCAGGATATGCAACTGTGATAATTTTAAACCACGGTTCTAGCCCTAACTACTAACCTGTATAATTAAACTAGTATCTACTTAGTTGGGGTTGACGACCTTGATTAATTAAAAATAAGTTTTTTTTTTCAGAAAAATAAACGCTTTTTTTTTAAAAAAAATCTACACAGTTTCAGCTTGCGCTGCTGAAGTGGCTAATTTGTTAGAGCAAGTGCAGCAGCCTCCCAAGAAGGCTCCTAAGTCCTATGTGGCAAGAAAAAGCTCCCAAGACCTTCCAACAAGCTCCCAATGAAGCTCTCAAGTCCTAGTTGGCGGTGGGGTCCACCATGGAGCTCCTAAGAGCTCCACAAATTTGTGGAGCACTTGGGAGCTCCTAAAGGGTGGGGGCCCACTAAAAATATTTTTTTATTAGATTTGTTGTTTTAAAAAATATTTATAAAATATTAGAGATAGAAGAATATATTTTTCAAATAATATTTATGCTCCTAGTTGGGAGTTTGTTGGAATATTTTTCCTAGTATGAAGCTCCTAAGTGGGCCCTATGCTTGAGAGCACTCCAACAAGAGCTCCCAACTGGGAGATTGCTGCACTGGGGAACCAGTTAGTTCAATTTGGACAAAGAGTTATTCTGGAAGTGAGCAGATTGAAACATAAATGGCAAACTTTGGAGTTTATAGGCGAATACCCTTCATTATAGTAAATCCTCTTTCTTGTTCCCTCCTTTACACACCATCCGGGGCAAAAATAAACTGATCCCCTGCTGAATGCTAACCATTTCTCCTCCAAATTAATCAATCCCCGCAACTCTTCACATAAACAATTTCATGCTTGTCCTGTCTCTTCAACCCCCATCAAAAATCTCAACCCTAATCCCAAAGGCAATGAGCACAATCCGCTGGCGACAAGCGCGGACAGCTGTTCGCTCTGCGGGCCTGTTCTCTTTATTGCTCTTCGGCTTCGCTGACCTCGTTCACGACCACTTTCATCACAAGTAAGGTTCGTTTCTAGTTTCCTTTTTCTTTTGCTCTCCAATGAATAAGATATCGATGGAGTTGAAATGTTAAAGCCTTAAAGGAGAAGGCTTGAAGAAGGACCGGAAACTACGACGACGATGAGGAGAAGCGATGGCAGCAAACTCAGTGGATGGGAGACAGTGAAGGAGGAGTTCACTTTTGGTGCAGGCTCTGCCCCTTTCAATGTCTGCCATGCCTCCACCATTGTCGAGGTGAGATTCGATTTCTACGTGTATAATCACCTGATCGATATGGTTGAGAATTTTCAGCAACATGACAGATAAACTAGCCACAGATTGATGTAAGAAGGAATGAAAGAAGATAAACAACCACAAAAACACAAGGATTTGACGTATTTTGTTGGAAACGGGATGCAAACCTAGAGGGGGGTTGAATAGGATTGCTACTAAGTTTCGACTAAACTCAAAATATGCAGCGAAAATAAAAAAATGCAAAAAACTGAAAGCAACCAACACGTTATAGTGGTTCAGATCAAAATTCTATATCCACTTTTCTGTCTCACGAAAGGCCTTCTTCACTATGACCAGAGTTATCCTTGAATCATAACCCGATTCAGTAGACTTTACAAACAAGTTCTTGAAATCTACCCGAAACCAGTCGAGATACCTAACTCCTTACGATGACCATAAGAAATCTAACACTAGCTAGCTACACTCAATTACCCTTGCTTGAGCACGCCAATCCTCAATTACCCCTGCTTGAGTACGCCGTCAAACTTATAAGTTTGAAAAACAAAACCAACTCTAAAACCAATTAAAGTGTAAGTGAAAAGATCTTACAAACCTTTTAAAAGAAATCGTTCTTCAAATCGATGTCGATGATGACCCGTGAAGAAGCGGATGTTGA